CTGAGTACCTCTATTTTTGGTAGACAAAAGTAAATCAAAAAAGAAACATTAACTAAAGATGCCATCATCATTTCAGTATAAAAAACGACTGGTTTTAACAACAACAACAACAACCATAACAATAGTAACGACAACGAAGTGTAATTATGATCCAAATGATGAAGGTTGGTTACCGACGTTGACAAATAGATACAACATTAAGAGCATTTATCGAATAACAACAGAACAGTAAACGATCGAATTTAAGAATCTTGGAAAAAAAAGGAGTGAAAAGAAATACTAATGAAGTCTTCTGTAAATTCTCAATCAGCTTTATTTCCACTTTTTTTTTTATTTTCCAACAAATTATCTATTTATACTAAAGTAAGCTTTCAGGCATAAATGGCCAAGAAAAAGAAAACCATTATCCGAATCAACGTAAAAATTAATACTGTCAAATTAATGATTTAGTCAAAACAGGTGCTGCTGTTCGTCAAAAAAAAAAAAAAAACAAATTTTCTTCATTTACTCACCCTTCTCGACCGTCAATCTGACCTTCCAAAAAATTAGTCCAAAAATATTTTTTTTTTTTTTTTCATTTTTATTTCAATTCCGTTCTTTTCTTTTGCTCTGCTTCATTCTTTTTTCTGTTATTGCATGCCTTACAGAAAAATTAGCCCAGAAAAATTGGATAATCATCATTCTCATCTTTCCCCATCGCCTTTCACCCCGGTCCACTACCCCTCTTAAAGACCCCGCAAATAATGCTCATAAAGATGCTGCTGTGAAAGCGTTGTGAAAACAGATCATCATCAGTATTTCAAACGTTTGAATATGGTTATTCTAGTTCATATAGTTAAACACATATAAACAAATACAAAACAACAATATACCGGGACAACACTTAGAAAAAAAACATAAACCAATATAAATCCATAGATATAATTAGCGATTCAATAATTATAAAGCTGTTTTTTAATAGACAGCAGAGTAGTGCAACAGCAAAAAAAGAAAACCAGGCAGTGATTTTTTAATGGTTAATCATTTTATACTGATGTTCTTCTTTTTTTTTTATCTTATAGTGTTCATATAAAAAGACCAAATAACAATTACAGATGGGTTACAGTTTACTGGTTGAAAATTTAATGGAAAATAGTGGAAAATTTGGAAAATGATGATAATGATGAGGTATTAGGGAAAAGCCGAAAAAAAAAAGTCAGTAGAAAAACCAGAATATTTCTTTGGTTGAGAACAGAATAAATGCCAAACAACAGAAGAGATGAACCTCTAACTGCTCACCTTCCCAATTCTCCTCCCCTCCCCTTCGCTCCTCAACCCCCGTCCCGTTGCCGTAATAAAAGTTGAGAATGAACTAAAGTTTACTTGGATTAAAGTATTTATTGCATTCATACAGTTTTTCTATTTATTCATCCATTTGCCATATTTTTTTTTCCTCTCTAGATTATGACTGTAATTTTTACACAACAATTCATCCATCCAAATTATCGACTCACTCTTCTCACCAAACATCAGAAAAAAAAATAGGGAGAAAAAACATGCATATAAATGCTGATCACACGGCTAAAAAATCTTTTTTTTTGGAAAGGTTAAGTTCAAAGAAGAAAAAATTATAGCAAAGAATAAAAACGAAAGACAACAATTATACAGTAAAACAGATAAAAAAAGTCCAAAATATTTGTTGTTCGTTTTAAGTTGAAGATTATAGTCCAAAAAAAATTCTTTTTTCTTTTTTGCTTCTGTTGCTGACATTTATGACATAACTCACAAAATTTCCTTCCTTCCTTCCTTTCTTCCTTCTCTTTTTTTTTTTTTT